GCTGGCCGAACTAAATCAAACACCATAATTCATAAACATTAAACACAGATAGCATGAATCAACTCATCAACAAAAATAAATACGGCGATTTAATTAACCAACAATAAAAATAAAGATCCTTCAATTCATAGACAAATCAAAGTTAGGGTTCAAACATCCCCTAAAACTGGATAAAATACTAGCCTAACATACTAATAAAAATAAATATAAATAAATAAAAGAGAGAAAATGAAATCTCCCTCGTGTGCGGTGCGGCTTCCCTCCGCGTGTGTTCTTATTCCTCTCAGTCCGTGCGGTGCTCTCTGCGCTGCCTTTTTATTTTTGCGTCTGTCGACTTTTCTTTTCTGTCCCGTGTGTCACCTCGCAATTCTCTCTTTCGTCAATAAAATGCGACTCCCGCTCACGGCAAATAAATCACCTTCGTCCTTTTTCTTTTGTCCAATCACAAGCTTTCCACAGCAAATAAAATTCCTCCAATTAATATTCAACTCCAAAAAAATTGCTTGCAATACGTGTGGATTATGTGGCCCCAGCAAATAAAATCCTCCCAAGACTTGTACTCCAAAGTCCAAAATAATTGGAATATTGGGCCTAAATCACCTATATTATCCTAGGCCCAACGACTTATACCACTCGTGGCCCTATTTATCGACAACTCTGGATATTCTTCAAAACACTGAAAAATAATACGAAAAACATCAAAGCAAATAAATCCATTCAAATAATAAATAGGTCGAAAAATATAAATGTGCGATTAAATTATGTATATCAAAATACACTACTAAACATATAAAACGTGCACATTTTATGACCTATCAAGAAGAGCCCTATTTATAGATGTAAGATAGAGAGTTTTGGAGAAGACATCAATTTGATTGGATCTTCTTGATTTGATACAATCTTTTTCTTAATATATAATCTCTTTCCTAATCTTAAAATTTGACTTTGTGGACAAGAAATAATAACATTATTAATTATATATCTTATTTATCATGGATTTATGTCCAAAAATAAATAAAGACATTAATTAATAAAATATTAAAATTTGATGTTTAAACCCTCCAAACTCTTTTTTAAGTACTTAAACAAGGAAATCAGGCAACATACGGAGACTATAGAGAACCAGTCAGTTCAATCGGAGTTAGTTGGGTTAGATGATAGATCTTTATGAGTGGGTCAACTCGCACAATGTTTATATCGCCTCATAAAAGGTTTATGTTAATATACTAGGTGGCCGGATGGCTGTGCACGCACAGCCAACTCTAGTCCAGTCTATAATTATAACCAATTTTTGTCAATATTTAAAAATACACGTACCCATTTTTTTTGGCAAGTATAAATGTAAGAAAAAATACACACAACCGGCTCAAATTTAGTCTATAATCGACTTAAAATTTGCCGTCATTTGAAATAATCAATTGAATTTATACTGATATAGTTGAAATGTAAGGAGTCAAGTGCATATCCAGTGTATGCATAATTGTTTCGCCCAATTTTTTTAAATACTTTGGGTTTAAATGTTGTCTACATAATTGATGTGTTTTTTTTTTTTTATTTTTTTTCACTCACCATACGACAGTTGAGATCTTATAGCCACACAATGTTAACAATTATATGTATTATCCGCTAATATATCGTTTTTTCTTTTAGTTTTGTTTTGGGTGTAGTGGTTATAATGGTTTAATACTTGTTGTGCATATAAAACGCGGATAATGTTACCGTTTAAATGGTCATACTTGTTTGACTCTTTTTTTTTCTCATCAAAATTTTAAAGAAATTATTGTTTGTGTAAAATTGATAAATATTTATGCAATGTGTTTTAGTTAATTCAAACATATAAATATTTCTGTTTATTTTTTAAAGTTGATCTGCACAAAATTGGCCACCAAAGTATTTTTCACTCGACAAAGTGTTAGAAAGTTTCGCTTGCTTCCCTTGCTTCATACTTAAAAAATAAAAAAGCTAAGAAATATAAAGAGCACGAAGATTAAAGCACCACATAAAAAATATTCAAAGGCAACCAATTTAATCAAATAAATGTTTCACCAAGAAAACCCTATCTGCCAAGGAGGTCAACAAATTGCATGTAGATGGTTAACTCCCAAACTGAACGTTTACAGCTAAAATGAGTGCTCTAGACCCAGAGATAGTCAAGTTCTTTATCAAGAAACTTAAAAAATCCCGAAAAAATCAGATGGTGCAACTATATGAATGCAAAATATAAAAAGGAAACAAAAAAGATGTTAATATTTTACATCAAACGCAAATTAATCGAAGATGACAAAAGCGTAATAGATACTAAAAAAACTCCATACTCTAGTATATGATTAGCATAAAAGAGGATAAAGTAGTGCTAGTTACCAAAATGTGGCTCTGCTGAGAGCATGAACATAAAACGTGGTCTCGATCGGAACACCACTCTCCACCAGAGTCGTAAAAGGAACCCCAGTCGGGCGATGAACATGGTGTAGAATGCAGCGCCTCATCGAACCTCTACAATGATCTGATGGCTTTCCTGCTCAGGGAGTCGATGGGAGAGCTCGTGATGTTGCTGATGCACTTTGTCGGAGAAGGATTAAGGAACACCTATTTTTCACAGCGCCACTTTTTGTGCCAATGAAGCCGTCAATGTTAATTTTGGTCCGCTAAATCAATTTTACTTGTTCCAGTTTCTCTTCATTTGGATTTATATTTGGGGTAGAAAAAATATTCTATGAAAAATGATTGGCATATCTATAATTTGGCTCTCCCTCACTATAATTTCATCTTACCACTTGAAGCAGATGAACAACAAAATCTTCAATTTTCTTCCACACACGGTGAAATCTGACCATAATTGAGATGAACAGAAGATAGAAAAATGCAATGCAATAACACTTGGAAAGTCTTAGGTACTTACAGAAATCATATTTACCAGAATATTTAACATTCTTGCAAACCTCATGTCATATCACATGCACAAACTTCATTTAATACCATCAATGCAACATTTGGCAGACCAGCCAATTTGGCAAAAGTTTTTAAAATAAGTTTTTAGAACATAATCTAAACTGATATTAGATCTACCAATAAATGAAAATAAATCAAATAAAAAGAAGGAATCATCGTGCCAACCAGAAGTGTGAAGCAGCAAGTGAGCACCAGTGAGCAAAAGTTATTTGATTTATAGTTGCAGCAATGGGTCATAAGGAATTTAACAAAAAATAAAAACAAACTACACGAAGTTGTTCCAACAGATATGGCACCCATACACTAATTCTATACCAGCCGTACTATTTTGAACAATAATCTACAATCTTTGTGAATAATTTAGGGGAAATCGAGAAAAAATCAGTTGGCCAACTCAGTAATTAAAAATTTGACAACAATTAAAAGAAACCAACATTCTTGACAAAGTTTGGAGCAGAACCAGATGAAGTGAATCATAAATTTCTAGCAGGTATATGATCCCAATCATAATCTAAAAATTACTACTCCATATAAGGTGCTACTAAATATGATAGACCACTCACTTAAGTATTTACAATCTTCTTGGACTCTGTCCAAACATCTTGTAAGGTGCTGGATAATCTTTAATTCTCACATAAAACTATGCAAAAGGTATTAGTACTGCAGACAGGCCTATTAAACCACTAAAAGCAAGCACATGGTAATGAACAAGTAACAGGCTTACCAAAAATCAAACAAGTTAAGCTTCTGCAGCACTAACTTCGTAGTCAACTAATAAACCCTTCACAAAAAAAAAAAAAAAAAAAAAAAAAAATGAGGAACATTAATTGATCAAAATAATCGTGAGCACCATACTGTTTCATTTGGGCATTATATCTAACATCGTTTAGGCATTCACAGAAATGATAGATGGACTATCAACAAAGTTCTATACCGGCGTTGTGTTTTGGAGGGTCATATCTCCCTCACTGTAATTTTATCTTACCTGAACACAGAATAGAAATGGAAGTCTGTTTTGGAGGGTCATATCTTACCTGTTTTTTTCGCGACCACCAAACCCTAGCCTCTGGAAGAACGGAGCAAAGTTGCGTAAAAATTTGATGCAGGAGGATGATAGAAAGAGATTAAAAGGAGATATGATTTTCTTGTCAAGATATGAAAAAAGATTTGGTAGATTTTGTGAGATTTTGGGTAGAGACGTCTGACACACACTATCGGGAAAGCTTTTTTACTGGATTGGGTGGAAAGAAAGGAGGACGTCAATTGTAAAAAGAGGATCAATACAGAGGTGTTTTGGTAAATCAAAAAAGTGACACATGTCAATCTCTCAATCCCTCATACTTTTTCTTATATGTAAGAGAGAGATATGATGTGATTGGACTGATGTTTTGAATCTCAAATCAAGCTTTTATCATCCTCAAGTATTGAATTAATGTAAATTTTTCCCTTATTTGGCCATCTTAATCTTAATTGCCTAAAATTTAACACTTGACATTCAAATGATGACTGGAAATATATATTAGAAATAATAACTAATTAATCTGAATTAAATTTGTTTTACTTTCAAAAAATATGAATACATAAAATAAATTAATTATTAGGATACTAATTTACTCGTGAAGCAATTTTAATGGCCTTAAGAAGACTTCACGATCAATATGGATAATTTAGAAGTTAATGGGCTTTGAAGAAGTGAATTTAAATTAGAGAAATTTACATCCTCCACTTGGAAAATCTGAAAATATTACATAATTACATCTTCTATATAATTATTTATAAAATAACTAAATATGTTATATTTATTTGCATATATGCCTAAAAATCTGATTTCCTATTTACATGATAATTTCTCATTCCTATTTAGATGGTAACTCCCCTCATATCTCTCTCCAGAACTTGTTTTCTCTCGCCAAATTCTATCCATCGTCTCTCTTCATCTCTCTCCTCTCCAGATCTTGCTTTCTCGCCAAGCTCGATCTATCGTCTCCCCTCATATCTCTCTCTTCTCCAAACCTTGCTTTCTCTCAGCTAAACCCCACCTCTCTCTAGATTTACATGATGCTCGATTCTCGATGCTTCCGCGACATCAATTCTATCAGGCCTGAGGATCCATGTCGGTCGTTGATGGCGCTTCTCCCAAAATCTATGTCGCCATGGCGGTCTGTGAGATTTCGGACAAAGTGAAGGCCGGGCCTGACGGCGGGCTCAGATCTCCGCCCTCGTGGTGGTCGGGGCTTAGTTTGCAGCTTGCGCCATTTCAATCCCCTCTTCCCTCTGTCTTGGTTGCCTTTTTCTGCTCAATGATAGAATCCCTTGAAGCTCCAGTTTTAATTCTTGTTAATTTTTCTTATTTATTTTTGATTTTTTTTTCTTTTGTCCTTGTTGATTCAACCGCCTTCCTCGTCAGCCTTCACCGGCCTGAGAAGATCGCCGTGCGGAAGCAGCAACTCCATGCCCGATCCGGATCCAAGTCTTTGTTTGATGTGGTTCATAAACTAAAAATATACTGAACATAAACTAAAAATATACTTATGCTGCACAATAAAAATCTAAAAATATACTGAACATAAACTAAAAATATATACTTATGCTGCACAATAAAAATCAACTGCTGAACATAAACCAAATATGTTAAAACTACGCAGTTTATTTCCATGAACAAATACCAAAATATACTGTACATATACTTTCACCTGTTCAATAGCAGCACTACGACTATACATGAGATGTGATAATGAAACATGGAAAGTTTGAAATATGATATCTAACTGATATCCTTCCAAGATTGAGAACTGAAATTATGGGCTAGAAACATGGAAAGTTTGTTTCATAGGCATGACTTTAATTAATTTTTATTTTTTAGGTATAAACACAATTTAATTGGTAGGAATGGTAAATGTGCAAATATTTAAAAAAAGAGTAGTAAAGGTGAAAATTTCCCTTTAAATTATTGGGACCCATTAAGCAAACCAAGCCCATGCATATTTATCCTCCAAACTCCCCAAAAAAAAGGAGTATGGGGCCTTCTTTCTGCTATCCTCACAGGCGGTGCGAATCGCTTGCACATTCTGACCGTCCGATCTAAATCTTTAACTTCAGACAGCATCAGCACCGTTAACAGCTCCGTGACTCTATCGTCCCTCATTCCAGTACATGGAACCGAGACGCATTCTCTCTCCGTCTCCCTCTTGTTTGAAACAACTTGTAAGGAAAAAAGAACAAACAATAATAATAAAACCGTTGAGATGCTACTACTGCCATAGTTGGTATTACAGTAATTATGCTGTTAATGTTTGACAAATGAAACCATTTCAACCTGTTCTCCATCATCAGGAAAGAATCTTTGTTCAAACATCACGGGGAAAAATGTTGGGTGTGTCATGAGTGTTCCTTCTCTTGTATTTTCCTCCATTTTTATTGATTTTCTTGTGCGCTTCCTTTTCTTTTCCTGTACCAATTCTATGACTCGGGGTTGTGTTGGTTTAGTTTGCTGGATCGGATTTACATTGAAAGGTTCGTTCTTGATTTTTGTTCACAGCTTCAGCTTCAAAATGATATATGAAATTGTTCTGTGACGCTGCTAGTCTCTGTAAAAAGGGGTCAAATATGAGGGCTTCCTCTTGGATTTCTTTTACAAGGTTTATGCAATTGAGGTTTGGGATAGTCTTGATATAGTTGAAATTTGTCGCTCAAAAAACGTTTTTTTCTTGTTTACTAGTAACGAATGCTTTGTTAGTTTGGTTGAGATTGTTATAAGCTGTTGGGACTTCAGGGAAGTGGATATTAGGGCATATTGCCAGAATGCAGAATAATTGGATTGCCTGGTTTTGCTTATTTAGTTACACTTAAATAGATAAAGATACTGACTTTAGTTACTTTTCTTTCGCAAACTTCAGATAATTATCCCTGGTTCCATCACATGAGCTAAATTTTTAGCTGGATACATTTGATTCATTTGTTGTAAATAAGCATTTGGCTATGGGATGTGGATGGAGTGAATGCATTCTCTTTTTTAACATAGAAGAGGCTTATTTGGCGTGCAAAAACACGGCACGCAAGAACAGATTTTTCTTATCCCACTATTAGTTGTTTGACATCCATCTGGCATTCTCTCATTGTTAGCATCATGGTTGTTGGACACTTTTGTCGAGATTTCTCAATCCGTACCATCTTTAATACCCTTATCTATTTTTGTTAATTCTCCGGCATTGTAATTCTTCTCAAAAACTTTCTTTTTCTATAACATTCTATATACATACTCCCTCCATCCTGCACAGGTTAATACTTTCATTTCCACAAATATAGGAATGTGCCCTTAAATAGATTAATTAAACCATCAGTTCCTGCATTTACAAGACTATCAACAAAACCGAAGCACGATACATGTCTGAAATATCAACTCATCGGTGCACATCACGAAAGTTCCAAACTTTACTCTTCATTCATCTAAACAAATCATTTTTCTCCTCCACAGCTGAACACACAAAAAAGGCAAATCAGCGCTCGAGCGAATAACTCCTCTTAGTCGTTCATGGAGCTTTGTAACTGCATCGAGCCACCATGGCCGGCCGACGAGCTTCTAATGAAGTACCAATACATCTCCGATTTCTTCATAGCACTCGCATACTTCTCGATCCCACTCGAACTAATCTACTTTGTAAAAAAATCCGCCGTTTTCCCTTACCGTTGGGTCCTCGTCCAGTTTGGCGCCTTCATCGTCCTCTGTGGCGCCACCCACCTTATCAACCTCTGGACCTTCACAATGCACACGCGTACAGTGGCCCTCGTCATGACAACAGCCAAGATCCTGACAGCTGTCGTCTCGTGCGCGACCGCCCTCTTGCTCGTCCACATAATCCCCGATTTACTCAGCGTAAAAACTCGAGAGCTCTTTTTAAAAAACAAAGCTGCTGAGCTGGACCGTGAAATGGGCCTTATCCGGACCCAAGAGGAAACGGGCCGTCACGTTCGAATGCTGACTCACGAGATTCGAAGCACTCTCGACAGACATACTATTTTAAAAACAACGCTTGTCGAGCTCGGGAGGACTTTGGGCCTTGAAGAGTGTGCTCTGTGGATGCCAACTCGTGCTGGGCTGGAGCTCCAGCTGTCGTATACGCTTCGTCATCAGAATCCGGTTGGATTTACGGTGCCTATACAGCTGCCGGTTGTTAACCAGGTTTTTAATACGAGTCGTGCTGTGGAGATTTCGCCGAGTTCGCCTGTGGCTAGGCTGAGGCCTGTTGTTGGGAAGTATATGCCTGGGGAGGTTGTGGCAGTGCGGGTCCCACTGCTTCATCTTTCGAATTTTCAGATTCATGATTGGCCTGAGCTATCGACTAAGAGGTATGCGTTGATGGTGCTTATGCTGCCGTCGGATAGTGCGAGGAAGTGGCACGTGCATGAGCTCGAGCTTGTTGAGGTGGTGGCAGACCAGGTTTGTATTTTTTTGAAAAAAAAAAGAAAGAAAAGAATAAGTCTTTGGATTGTGGGTGGTATTTGTTGATTTTTTGGTTTAATTTGTTTTGGGGTGTAGTTCTGATGATGTTGTGATGTGTGTTTGTATTTGATAATAATTGGAGTTGGTTGTGGAAAATTGTCCATAGTATGTATGATTCGGAATTTGGTATCAGATGGGGTTTGTTTTCTATGTGGAGGGTGCTTTTCAGGTGCATTTGTTATGTGAAGTCTGGGCAAACTGAGTATGTTACTGCTGTTTATGATTTTTGTCATATTTGGAGAAGCAAATGTGAAAAAGAAGGCAAATTTTGTGCTTTCCTAGTCTGATTGTTGCTGTAACTTTTCATTTCTTTCTTGATTAACTTGTACTGTTCAATATTAAATACACTTCAAGCTCCATTGATACAATTTTCTATTTCGCCAATTCATGTGTGATCTGGACAAACCGTAAGGATAGTTGTTGTAATTACTTGACAAAATGATGTCTCTAAATACAGTTCAAACTCCATCGATACAATTTTCTATTTCACCAATTGCATCTTCAAATTTTTCTTTTTGGTGTTTGTGATCTGGCCAAACCGTAAGGGTAGTTCTTGTAATTATTTCACAAATGATGTCTCTAAAAATATCCAATTTTATGATATTATTTGAAATCCAGGTTGCGGTTGCACTTTCGCATGCTGCGATTCTTGAGGAGTCAATGAGGGCTCGGGACCTCCTAATGGAGCAGAATGTGGCCCTTGACTTGGCAAGGCGGGAGGCAGAGACAGCTGTGCGGGCCCGCAATGATTTCTTGGCTGTGATGAATCATGAAATGCGGACCCCAATGCACGCAATAATTGCCCTTTCGTCCTTGCTGCAGGAGACTGAGCTCATGCCCGAGCAACGTCTCATGGTCGAGACAATCCTCAAGAGCAGCAATCTTTTGGCCACCCTTATTAATGATGTTTTAGATCTCTCGAGGCTTGAGGATGGTAGTCTTCAGCTCGAGATTGCAACTTTTGGCCTTCATTCGCTCTTTAGGGAGGTACGAGTAGTAGTATATTCTTTTTCATGTGTTCTATCTCT